TTTGGGAACCTCTGGTCTATGCCCATATTTCTGCACCAATAAGTTTAACGAGTGCACCATGGAACAGGTATTTTTTGTTAACTGTTACTGGACAGCACAGATGTTTATGGTGCCTATACAAATAAGGAAGATCTGCCACCTTTAAAAAACAATTTATTACACATTTTTGAGGGGAGAAAAGAGAGTGCTATTACAATAGTGATCATTGCATAAATTAATCCTCCTTCCCAATGTATGAAATGGTAGGAGCTGCAGTGGTACCAGAGACAGTTGCATTCTCCTGCTACAGAGCAGAGTGGCTATTAGACTATAGTAGCATTTTTTAATTATTTTACAACCAGCAGTTCACGTGAAGCCACATTACAAAGTATGGCGATCCATATGTATTTAAGGTATTTATTCAAAATATTGATTGCATTATACATGGGTTTTATCTCTTCTGTTCTGTAGAGTATCTTACAAGAGAACTATATATATACACACACACAGAATTAAAAAAATAAAAGCTAGAATAGGCATAGTGGAACTCCCAGGGTTAATCTTAGAACTCCAAATTGTCCTTTATGAACACAGATACAACAAAAGTTAGGAGGCCTTGGCTACCTGAAGCAATAGAAATAGGAAATGTTTTTGAATTTCCTTTATTTCTACCTCTGGCCTAAATATCAATCACTTGAAAGTTTTTTTAAAAAGGAACTTTGCAAATAGAATGTTTTGAAATAGATATTTTGCAGGAATGAGACCAATTCAACCTTCCATTCAGTGATAATGGGAGTAAGGGCCACTTGTAAAGTCCCCTGTATTTTGATAGGAGGAATGAAGAAGTTATTCTGGAACACTTGCTGTGCATGCTCAGGCATCTAAACATGTTTGTATTTTCTCTTCATTGGCCTCACTCTGGACAGTTCTGCTTGAAGACCCCTGCCTCCCAAATGTTGAGTGCCGTCATCTCTCACAGAGATCTTAATAGTAAAACTAAGTGGCACTAGCTTAATTTTATACTATTGATAGAACTTTCACCCCAAATATGTCTATGTCAGAGGTAGACAAGGTGTCTATGTTACGCCTATGAATACAGAATTAGAACATTGTTCTATAATGAACACCATGGACTCCCACCACAGTAGGTACTTGTATGACCCTCACCACTGTAGTATCCAAGTGCCATGGTAGAGGTAAAGTAGACATGACTGGCTCCACGAAAACTGCCTGTCTTCCTGCTCTGATCCCATAGTAGCCCCTCTTGCAGCCAGCTGTGGGAGCTACTGACACATACAGGGCAGCAGGCTCAAGTTTCTCTTTGCTCCCAAAGCCCTTAGTTCCATGAAAACACATCAGGCCTAGCTTCCCAGAGCTGCCCTTTGACCTATGTATGGCCTATGCCACCATCCTCAGAGCTGCATGTACTTTTCTGGTTAGTAGGAAGGTTTTACTGATATAAGTGAGAGAAAAAAATAGAGAGTAAAAAAACCAAGAAGATTAAAAAATAAATACTCAGAGAACCAACAAAAGCCAAGGAAAAGTATGTAGGTATCCATCCAATAATTCATTGGAAAGCAACAAAGAGAGAATGGGAACTACTAGCTTAAAGTAGGAGAAAGAGCCCATTTTGTTCCCTAGAACACTGCAATATGTAAACTCTAATTCCAATTCTAGGAATATTTTTTCCATTTTATAAAAATATTTCAGCTCCACAGAAGATGCAGAACGAAGACATTTACATTTCATATATTTGCTAGCTGCCAAAAGTATTTGTATGAAGGTTTGCCAGTTGAAAGCCTAGTAGATAATGTCAGGATGTTCTAATGAAGGAATAGGACATTTGTTCCCATGGTGACAGATGGATGTGAAATTCAAGTTAATATTACTGCAGCAGAAAGCAGACACAGCTGAGCTTTATTAATGTCATGAAGAACACATAGGAAAAAAATCAAATGTTCATTTTTAAAAATTTTGGTCTAAGCTAACAATTCCCCTTTATGTTTACCTCTTTTCCCTAAACAATGGTTCTGGAGAGAATTCTTTTTTCCTTTTCAGGAGCTGGTCTGGGATCAGTGTTTGGAACAAATATCAAATACGATGTGCACCTTTCGGGAGACCTGGCACAGTAGATGATCACTTAAGCGCACATTGTGGTACAAGGCATGTCTCTTCTCTTGTTGGCCATTTAAGGAATACACTATATAGGAGATGGCTGCCTATGTCATCAGGAATCTCTATGTAGTATGCTTCATAAATCTGGTATAATGTACACCTAAGTGAGAGGGTTGTTCTGGCATTAAGCTAATCGGGGATAAAGGTTTGCAGAATGTTTTATATTATAGAATATGCTGAGAATGAAAAGCATTATAAGGACCCCAAATTAAAAAAAAATATATCAAACCCATTTCTTTGTCAAATGTTGATATCCAGTCAAACTTGCTTTCAGTTATAATTCAAGTCTACATTTGGAAGAATGTTGATTATTAAAATATTTGCAATCACAGAGGGCTGCCTTTTAAATCTCTTATCAATCAGTACAACATCAGGGCGAAATGTTCTCTTCATACTCTTTGCAAATGGCAAAGTCCATACAGTATGACTAAGCAAGTTTGATCATGGTGCATTTTTACATTCAACTTCTCCCAGTATCCACTCAATTCCATTTAACAGTCCACTTAAAGTAGCAGCCACAGTGTCTTGTACCTGTAAAACCAACAATGGCAGATGTTAATGTGGTATATGGATATACATATTGGGTGTATAGATACTAGATTAACATTCCATATTTGTTCTTAAAAATACAGGTATTATCAAATCTGCCTGTTTTGTCACTGGCTTCCGGGTTCCTTAAACAGAACATGTTTCTTAGAGTAAATTAGGGGAAAGGAAACAGTGCTGTTCAGAGGATGAATAAAGAGAGCCATTAGGAAAGCTGTACATTATTGATTTCCTATAGAGTTCTCTCTTAATCCTCCCTCTGCTGTTTTGTGACATCTTCCTTCCTTCACAGTATCAGTTGGAATCACAGGTTATTTGAAATTCCTTTTTATAACTCTTGGGGGAACAAAGTTTCAAACTTTAGAATTTCACACAGATTATGAATTCTATAATTTCTAGTATATTTCCATTCAATTTATGTAATCTTCTAAATAACAGTGGTATGTTTTAAAAACACACAAAGCTTTCCAACAATATCCTTATGAAGGCAAAGGAAAATATTTTATCTAAAATCTGTATTTAGGCTTTACTGCCTGGCAATTCTCCTTTAACTACAGTGTGCCACTAACATTTAAATTAAAGTCACTTCAAACACTACTGCTCACTCACAAGACAATATAAAGAGGATGAGTAAAAAGAAAACAAATATTTTAAGAAGTGAAGATACCATCCATGGTTGCTTTAGCAGATTTAATTGCAGTTGATGTGCCATGTAAACACAAGGGATTCTTTTAATGCCAACTTCAGAGGTGCAGGACAAAATCAGTACAGGTCTGTTTGGAGGCCCAAGAGTTGGATCTATCATTGCCAAAATACGAGCAAATTCATCTTGACGGTCATGTTCTAGAAAACAGTTTGAAATATGAGTATTAGACTATATACAAACCCCACTATATATAATCAAACTCATCTTTATTACATTTTCTTCTATCTTGGTTCTTAGGAGGATACACATAATTGTTATTACTGGAGTACCTTCCAAGCGATAATAACCAAAGTCACAATAGGCCATTTTCCTAACTTCCACAGAGGCAGTTGGGGCAGTGAGTTGCCCCTCCTTCCTCTTCCTTCCACCTCTCCCTTCCTGATCTGACTTTTTCCTCCTTTTAAAAGGCAATGATTATGAAGACAATCTAGCATGGATGAAGGCTGAAGAAACAAAAAGTAAACACACCTTCAGTATTAAAAGATATTCAGGACATGTTTCTTCATTATAGTTCTACATCTTCTGTAAATAAAATTAGATGCTAGAAACAATCCTAAATGTAAATAAATGCTCTAGTTTAAATACTCCCAACTGAAACACATTTTAAAAATCAAGAGGTAATCTGTTTGTTTCAACTTCCCGTTAATGGACCGTTAAAAACACACACAACTGTTTAAGACTAGGTCAAAGAAGGAAAGTTATACCGTCATTACATGAAAATAAGCAAGGAAAGAACTTTAGATGATAGCAGAACTCTGTTTCAGTGCAGTGCCAGACGTATGATAAACTAATGAGATATTTCAGTGCATACATTAAGAGAAACTGTAGAGACTACCAACCATTTGATAATGGACAGTCTCCTTAAAGAGAAGAAACAACCCGAATGAACTCTGGAATAAAATGAAAACTATCATGCTCAAAGCCATCTAAGCACACATTCTGAAAAGTCAGAGTTGGACCACACCATGGTTAATGGAGAAGGTGTTTGAGCTAATGAAAAAAATGACAGAATGAAAGAGTGGATTGGAAACTGAAGAACACTGGAGAGAATACAAGGAACTGAGCACACAGATTCAAAGGCACACTAAACAAAAGTGAATACATCAGGGCAAAATGTGAGGAATTTGAGAATTATAAAGAGACTAATAATATAAAAAGGTATATTCACAGTGGTCAGATTTCTTACCAAAAAGTTTTCCCCATGACCGAGTATTATAAAAGATCATGATGGCACAGTTCTTACTGAAGGTGATTCAGATTACAGTGCCAACCTATATGTCTCGTCTGAGCCACTTACAATGCAGGATGACAGAAAAGAGTACGGAGCCAGAGGCATCAGTCTTCCGAGAAGAAATGGTGCATGTTATTAGGAAAATGAAGTTTGGAAAAGAAGCAGTGGTAAATAATGTAACCGCAGAATTACTAAAAGCAATTGGTGACCGTGGTATTGCTCTCATGCGGAAAATTTGCAATGACGCATGGATGATTTGAAATTGGTGGGAAGACTGGACGAAAGGAATCTTTCTGCTTTTACAAAGAAAGGGGATATAACAGAGTGCAGTAACCATCAAACCATCTCCCCGATATCACACACAATTAAAGTATTGCTCTGCGTAATTCAGGATTGCATGAAGCAATTGACAGAAGCAGAAGTAGCACCACAACAAGCTGGTTTCAGAGCGGGGCGAGGCACATGTACTCAAATTGCAAATATTAGTCATATAATGAAAAATGTAGGGAGTATAATCTTCCAATACGTTTTGTACAGTACTCCAAAGCATTTCACTGAACTCGCTGCAAGTCTCTACTGTTCACAACAGACCACGGTGTGAACAGCAGCGGGCAACAGCGATTGGTTTTCCATTGGGGAGAGTCCGAGACATGAGTGTATTCTGTCCCCAGGTCTTTTCAACGTATATGCAGAATTTATCATGAGACAAGCCCTGGAAGATTTTGATAAGGTGGAAGGAACTGGGACTTCTATTGATGGACACTTCTTAACCAACCTCAGATATGCTGATGATATGATGCTCTTTGGTGAAACCAATCGATGCAATGCAATAAATGTTGGAGTCTGTGAAAACAGTTAGTGAGGAACATGGACTATTCCTGAATGTGGCAAAAATGAAATTCATGTACGTTGACATGATCAATAACAACAGGATGCAAGCAAACATCATGATCAGCAGTGAAGCTGTAGAGGCAATAGTTGAATTTAATTATCTGGGATCATACATATTCAACCAAGGAGGCTGTTCCAAAGAAATCTGAAGACTACTAGGGATGGCTTGCTCAGCAAGGCCTCCCTCATGAAACTGTGGAAAAACCATGGTATCTCAACATGTATTACTGTTAGATTGCTCAAGAGCTTAATTTTTTCCATAGCAACTTATAGATGTGAATCCTGGAAAACGAATACAGCTGACAAGAAGAAAAAAGAAGAGATGTGGTGCTGGCAAAGACTCTTGCATATCTCCTGGACGGAGAAGACAATGCATGCTTATGTTAGAAATATTATTGGAGAGAAGTGGATTCTGCTCTCGGAAATCAACAGGTGCAAACTTATATACTTTGGTCACATTTGGCATAGAGATGGAAATATCCTTGAGAAAGTTATCATGGAAGGAATGGTGGTGGGTCACCATAGTAGATGATGACCAGTGAGCAGAAGGACAGATCGTGTGTGGCAGATCACAGGGAAGTCAGCTGCTGTGTGCGCAAAGTTAGTGATGGATCACAAAGGCTTCCAAAAAATTCTGCTATGATGTCACTAGTATTCAGACATGAATAAGAGGGCTTTACTTAGCCATTAACAAAACTAAATCTTTCCATTTGACATTTTTAAATTCCCATCTCATTTGCTCTGATCTTTAGCTCAGATTATTAAGAATTCATACCAAACACTTATTTACACAAAAGGAATAACTGAGCACACCTTGCTTTTATATTGTAGCAAAACTGCATATAACCTGCTTAGTAGTGTCCTTGTAAAATTAAATTCCTCAAGTTATATAGCAGATTCAGTAGTCAATCATTAGTAAGAATTGTCCTGAAACCACACTAACTTCATTTGGACTCATAATTCTTACTTACATTGATTAGTATCTTTCTTTGCACTTCTGAAGGTGAACAATAAGATCAGAATTTGGCCTTCAAAGTATAAATGTATTCTCATGTATTAGCAGCATCTCAACCATCCGCAAAATATGAGTCAACATAGTTAAAATAAACATTCCTTACTTTTATGAGCTTCCGCATTAGCAACATAGATGAATCCATCAACTACTTCGCACACCTGTTTAACTTGAGCAATTACATTGTAGTGTACTGCCTGTTGATTCCCACCTATGCTGTTTTCTTGATAAAACATCTTATTGACTGTAACAGTTTGCTCTGTTCTTGCTCTCTTCCTTTCCATGCTGAAAAATATGAGAACATCCCAAACATTTAACAAAATTATCCAGACTAATTTGGAAGGAGAATGGCAAAGGGGAGGGTACTCCACAAAGACGGGAGAGGGGAATGGCCAAAACATGCAGAACAGTTTCATCCCTGAAACAACTTTTTATAATTTGCATGCATAGTTAACCAGTTTTGCAAGATCCATACTAACATGCACCAATGGGTAGGTTCATGCTTATAAATTTCAAAAATAAAGTTAGAGACACAAAAAGGAAAGGCACTGCTCTTTATACATTACACACACACATACTCATGCTGATCAAAGATTCTTTGGGCCAGATTTAAAAAACTAGGCCTACCTTCTGCCACACAATTTGTGAGTGGCATTGCCAATTGAGGTAATTTACAAGAGATGTTCATCCACCTGATTTACAGAAACAATCAAGTACTGTGATATCCATATTATATTAGTGGTTGAGACCAGGGAAAAAGCTGAAATAACTGAGAATATCCAGCTTTTTTTTTTTCTCCAGAGAACAAGCCTTACCTGGTAGTTGAATACAATGTCAAAATATTGAAATTTCGATGGTTATTAAATTTAAAACTGACTCCTGATCCAATCCCTACAAGAGGAACAAAATGAATTTAGGATATAAAAATATTCAGTTGCTAAAGACAGCTAAAGCCAAAGGCTGAAAAATCCATAGGGATCATAAATTGGGCACATTTAATCAAGTGTGTCTCTATATTACAAGAAAATATATTCATTGCATCAGAATGTGACTTTAGACACACACTAAATTGATCACACTGAGATACTGGTAATTTAATTCAGTATTGCTATAAAAGATTGGATGGCACTTGGAATTATTTCAAGTACCTAAATAAGTTATCTAAAATTTGTACTGCAGAAGCACTTAGACCCCCAATCAGGATCAAGCGCTACTGCGCTTCCTGTTCTTAAATCACACATTAAGTTCTATCCAAAATGTCTTACACCTAATTTAAAAGATAATGCAACAAGTGTGACATATGACAGCAGGAAAACAGCACTAAAAATGTATATTTGCATATGCCACCTGTGAGCACAACTTCATTATTCCAATTCAGTAATGAATAAATAAATATCAGTGGCTCCCAATCAAATAATTTTTGAGATTTTTTACTCTGGTTTAGAGTGAGGGGAAACTGCAGATGTTTAGAACTATATTTTATGTAAAATCCCATTGATTAATCATTTAACAACTTCCTACATTTTCCTAGGTCACTGTTCTTTTTAATAAAGGCATTTTATTACCAATCTCATATATAACTTAGATTTAAGTAGGAAATGGGGTCCTTCATCCACTTTTCCTTTTTTTGTACCTACACACTTTTTTTGTATAAAGTGCAGGCAATCAAGCAAAAGTAATTTTTAAAAAAGGACATAGTATTAATGTCAGCTAAAGAAAACTGGGCTTAAGACTAATGCATGATCAACAGCATATCTGACTTTAAGTTCTGGACCAAAACCCCAGGGTGAACTCTTGAGAGACAGACGGACAGACACCCAGACACCCACCACACACCACTGATTTCAATGCGCGTTTTCCCACTGACTTTCACCCCAAATGCTTATTGTTCTACAATGGCATTTTATTCCTCTAATCAGCCACAGAGAGGGAAAAAATCCAGTTTTAGTATAGATTCATAGATCCTAAGTCCAAAAGGGGTCTTTGCAATCATCTAGTCTGATCTCCTGTATAACACAGTCTATAAAACTAATATTTGTTTTAAAGGGAGGTATAAAAAGCACCTTTTCTCTTGTAGAACATGTTTTTAAAGAAACAACTGACTATTACCATGGATTTGTCTTTGAGGTAAGCCAGCTACAGGCAAAATTTCTGGGCAAGTCATCATTCTTCGCACCAAAGATTCATCCAATTCTTCTAAACCTGGTCCAAAAAGGGCAAAGCGAGGTTCTGCTTGCGTGACCAGTGATTGTACAAGGAAGGTAGTCACAGCTCCATATGTGGGACGGCTTGATTTCAAATGTCTACTCGGAGGACAGCTCTTTTTGTATCTGGGTAAAATAGATATAATTAGAAATTAAACACAAAATACAGAGGAGATATTAATTATTGTCAACCAAATTAGGTCCCAAATGTATTTTACTTGTGACTTGTAGGTTGCTGATTCATATCAATGAGGGACAGAGTTGTTAACTGATGGTTGTTATGTAGCCTATGTAAATAAATTAGAAGTCTTGGTCCAATGAGAAATGTTTTTTGTGGTTAAGGCACTGGATTGGTACTCAGGAGAGCAGGGGGATGCAAGAGCCAGAGCATGGGGAGCACCAGAAGAGTAGGTGGGTGGACAGCTGCAGAGGCAGGGAATGGGGGAAAGTACATAGATCATAGAATATCAAGGTTGGAAGGGACCTCAGGAGGTCATCTAGTCCAACCCCCTGCTCAAAGCAGGACCAATCCCCAACTAAATCATCCCAA